CTTTGTAAGAGAGCAGGGTCTAATTGAAGAGGGACGCAATTGCAAAAACGAGATAATGATTTTTATTTTTGGGTAGAAGGCTTGATGAAACCTCTGAGTGCTATGAAAACAAGCGATGCTCAGTCCTCCAGTCTTCATTCTGCTCTGTAGGAATTAGCATTTCTTTTCTCTTTTGAAAAGTAAAATAAAGACAGGAAATGAGAGGAGAAGGATGGATGGAAGGTAATGTTTGAATGCATTACATTTTTCAGTAATGCAGTAATGTAACAAGTTACTGTATCGAAGTAACTGAATTACATTACAGCTACCATTATTTTAATTGTGACACAGAGGTCCTCCAGAAATTAGCTGCAATCAGCTGATTTCAGTTTGTGTGCAGGGAGGACAAACAGCATGATAACACAAAGCTAACAAAGATCCCAGAAGAATGTTAAAGCTGAGCGAATACTAAATTGAGCCTGGGAGCCGGAGCCTTCAAAGCCTGTGTGTTCTGCCTTCAACGGCTTTTAATGGTTTTCTGTAGACACTATAAAATATATGTATATCACATATAAAAATGTGTCCTCATTAGGATAGGGATTTGTGTTAGCGTTTGGGATTGTAGTGTTGGGTTTATATTATTAACTCTTCATTATATGAGAGTGCATTGCAGAGCATGTTATGGAGTAATGTGGAAATAAGTGAGTAGTGTATTGAATTACTTTAATAGACAGATACCGCCTGACTGTTAGTTGTCAGCTAGCAGTCAGCCACTGGGAGTCTGTCCTCTTATCTCCTTTCCACTTTAAATACGTCGTTTCACTCAGAGTGTCACCAAGACATGGCGCTTTCTTCTTCAAAAACATTTTTAGCTATAGATGATTTACTCAGTATAATTCTAGAATCTTTACCTAATATATATATAAAGCGCATTAAGGCCACTGTTTTGATTTGGAGCGATATAAATAAAACTGAATTGAATTTCATATTCTTTTGCTAGGTTTTGTTGTAAACCTCTTCACCAATTAAAATATAAAAACTTTGATTCAAGTTTTGAATTTTGGATAAAACTTTTCAACAATTTGGGCATCATCATTTGCAGATCATCAAAACTATTTCCAGTAAACAGTTCTTCATTCATCCATTTCAATATAATCTAATAAATAGATGCAATTTAAAAGAAAATTAAATACATAGATGTGGAGACGTGGAGGTTAATTAATTCTGAGACAGGCTTTGTGAAGGTGTTTCTTTGGACATTGGCTGCTTTGTAAAGGATTTTCAGTCCCGTCCTTGTATCTAAGGGGAATGTTTTTTTCAAGCTCTGTTTTAACCAACCATACAAATTAAAGTGTTATTGTGATAGATATGCGTAGGACAGCTTTTTGGGCAGAGTTTGATTGAGCAAATAGAAACAACCTCATGGTGCCTTTGTGAAAACGGGACATTAGAAGACTACCAAAAAACGCCATCCATACTACTATGTGAATTCAATAAATTTATGGTTTTCCTGATATTCAGTTTTTGTTGTTTCAGCTGAAACCGTCAATTTCTTTCAAGGAGGAGATTACATGCTCTCACAGTTACCACAAGATAAAAGAAAAAGAATGATATTCTTTTCAGCTGTGCGCTAAAAAGGGTTTCTCTGACTGAGGGACCTAAATAAACTAACCAGGCATGTTCTGGTTTGTCAGATCATCGCACCAAGTAAAAATTACTTCTATATATTTTTAAGTTAAACTCTGTTAGAAATTCAAAATGATGTCACAAAGTTTGCAGATGTATTACCACAGTGTTAGTACATACTCCGGACTGTATACTTTTAAAAACAATAATGTAAAAATCGAAAATCTTTTGTGATTAATTTTTATTAACGGACAAAACACATCAATGGCATTCACTAAGAAAGTTTCACAGACAGGCAGAGATGGGTTTTGCTGCTTGTCTGTAGAAGGCGATCATTAAGAGGTGCCAATAATTCCAGTGCAAATGAAGAGCGGCAGCTGAACAACAAGCAGTATAATAAGAAAAGCAACAATCCCTCATTTAAAGTTTGTATAAAACATTTGTGAACATACACTGAAAATTCAATTCAATTCAATTCAATTCAATTCAATTTTATTTATATAGCGCCAAATCACAACAAAAGTCGCCTCAAGGCGCTTCATAAAACGATGTAACTTTCTGTCAGTGATTCCTGGAATACCGCTTACATGTGTTAAAATCACGGCTGGCACAGAGAGGGTTATTTGGTCTGGAGGTCGTTGTCCTTCTGTGGGGAGAGCTGTTTGAGCAATCACCTAACGCGTGACAAAGGAATCCGCTGTAACGCTAATGACGGTCTGCACTCTCTTACCTGTCTGTAAAAGTTGGTTTGGGCATTAAAATCACTGCAGTGACTTATGAGAGATGTGCAGAGCACGAAAGGAGAGTTAAGAAAAAAATCCAAAGAAATTATATAGAAACTGTATATAAAAGGATCAGCTGTGGAGTTTTTCCACCTATAACTAAATAAATAAATAAATACTGCAGGTTGGATCTATTTGCTGGACATGTACTCGTTGTTGGATTTGAAGTGTCCCTTTCACAGCGCAGTATTTTTGAACCAGAGCATGCAGGCATTTAAAGGCAGCATGCATGCGTTTAAATTTCGATTTCGCATTTTATATAAGTACATTAGCAGTGCAATGAAATCATTGTTTTATGCTTTCATGTTCAAAACACAAGCCATCAATAATCATAGAATGCAAGAAATGACAGTGTGAAGATGAGAGTGCACGCAGGGTCATGTAAATGGAGACGAGTGTGGTCAAAAATATGAATTATGATACGTTCATATTTTCCAAGAGGAGATGGACCGTCCAGCTTTTCCAGCTCTGTTCAAAAGTCCAGCAGATACTCTCCTCAGGTCACTGACATTCACAGACTGATGTTACTTTTGTGTGTGATACATATAAGTCTGGTGACAGTTTGGCAGTCAGAGTAACTGACGGAATAATTTATAGCATTGGGATAAAACAAAGCAAAAATGACTGATTGACAGAACTTTATTTCTATACTTTGTGTTTTAATAGAACAACAACAATTTGTTAAGCTAACAAAAGAAACTAATCAAAACCTAAATGGATTTGCAGATTTCATGGAGTAGTCTTGTGTGTGTGTGTGTGTGTGTGTGTGTGTGTGCGTGTGTGTGTACATATGATCTATATCCTGCATGTTATTAAAGTGCATGCAGCTGACTTTGTGTAGGTTCACCATTAAAAACAGTTGTGTTTTGTGAGCTGTCCATGGTGCTGAAATTGAATAGTTTGAAATAGTTTGAGTGCAATAAAAGTTTATGAAGGAAAAATGTGTTATTTCACGCTCCTGCCTGGACTTTTACGTGGCTTGAAATTGATGTAAGTCTGTGTGTGTGCGTGCGTGTGTGTGTGTGTGTGTGTGTTTGGGTCTTTTTTAGAACCAGAAATTGGAATGGCACTATACTTAGGGGGCCCAACAGGCACTTGTGGGGATCAAATGCCAGTTCTAATGAATTTGAAGGCATTTTTGAGGCCTAAAATATGGTTTTAGGGTTAGGTTACAAATAGGTTACGGTTAGGCATTCATTTCTGATGGTTAGGGTTAGGCTATGGAGCTGAGGAAAGCGTTTTGTCAATTCTTTGTCCTCACTAAGACATGAAAACGAGTGTGTGTGTCATTAAATAATAGAATGATGTGAACATTTTCTATCATCAAGTGATAGAAAAGAGGAGGTTATTTCAATTACAGTATTATGTGATGATCTTGTTTATTTCTTCTTCACTTTTTTCCTGCCGGGTGTCTTTGACAGCGAAAATCTCTGCTGTATGTGGTGAGGTCAGTAAAGAGTGGAGCAGATAAAGAGGAGATACTTTAAACACACACAAAAAGACTGGACGAGTTAGTAGAACTGTGGGTGTGAGCTAAAAGGGTAAAGACCGAAAATGTGTGACTTAACACTGTTTCAACTGTTCAGCTGAGATCCATCCACTTATGCTAACTAATCACAGTTAAGCTAAATCATTCATTTTTTGTGTGTTGCTCCTTCACCTGCACACTACTGAGTCTTTTAGCCTTTGAGCCCAATTGTGTGCAGTATGGAGGGTTGATAGCACTACCCTGGTGGGCGTACATTAACCTCTGGAGCCCTGGTGGCAATTCTATCAGTCAGTCAAAATAGCAGGATGATGGACTATAGTGCAAATCGCCCATTCCTACTGTGTGTGTCTGTGTGTGTGTGTCTGTCTGAGACGCCAGATGCAGCTGACAGAACAGTAGTAAATGATGCTCTGGGATGACAACATATTGGTTTAAACATGACTATAGGAAGTAGCATGCTGGAAGTATTTCTTGGCAAACATTAGCTTGACACAGTGACTGCATGCAGGAGTCTTGCTGTCAAGCTGGAGTTAACAGATTTTTATAATGTTGTTCATTAAGAAATATTCCCCCAGTCATAGTCATTTTGATATTGGGTTCAATCAAACGTGAGATTTCACACATTAAGCTGTCAAATGTTTTTATGTTAGAATATTCTTTTATCCATTCTATGCACGCATAAGGGAAATGATAACGGAGGGAATGAAGGGACTTGAGGACAGATTGGAATTGCTATTTCAACACTGAACTTTTCATCAGGCTCTCAGAAGGAAAGCAAATATGTATAATTTGCAGAATGTTGAATTATTCTTTCACAACCTGATAAGTTTTGGATACAGAGCTGCATGTAAAAGAGTATGACGCATACTTGCCTTTGAACTCCTCAGATCTGTTTCATGTTTTGCTCTCTGTTCAGCTCCTAACTGAAGTTGAGCCCCGGTTAAGTTTAGTGAAAGATTCAAACTTGAGCTGGTGTGTTCTGGATGTGCAGTTCTAATAGGATTATCTGTCCTGATATGCAATGAATCCTGATATGCATATGCCAAGAATTCTTTCTGCTTTTACTACATGTGAAAAACCAAATTAAAAACTAGCATACAGGTGAAAATCATTAAGCGCTGTACCTTGGTTGGTGTCAAAAATATTGACGTTCTTGGTGAACTTGGAGCTTTGGTGTCCCCCGCCCTGCCGCAGTCCTCCTAACAGGCACAGCCTGCCAGCTGGGTCCCATATCACACCCCCATAGGAACGTTTGCATGGCATCATGGGTAGCGTAGTCCAAGATCGCGTCTCTGTGTCGTACACCTCAAAGGCCTTTAACGGTCGTTTACACTGACGGCCACCTTAAGAGTAAAAAAAAAAGTTGTACTAGAGTGACAAATAAAGTGCAGACATGATAGCTGTGCTCGTCTGTTAGTACCTGCCACATAGAGCTTATTGCCAAGCAGATGTGTGTTAGCATCGTAGCGTGGGGTCGGCATGGAAGGAAGTAGCGCCCACACGTCCTTTCGAAGGTCATACTGCTGCAGGATACTACGGGGAAGCAGGTCTGCACACATTCCCCCGAGAGCCAGAGCACGGCCATCTAGACACATGCACAGAGACAGGACATTTCAGACATTATATCACGATGATTACAAAAGTGAAGCTACACTTCTCCACCGCATCCTAGCTCATGGAAACAACTTGTGGGCACTTCATGAAGTGCTAAAAAATCTGCTCATCCACTGGCAGACACGGATGAGAAGTTAGCTTGTGACAAGGCTAGAAAATCTGACAGACGAAGGACAGAAAGTACAGCAGTAGAATAAAAATGCAAGAGTCCACGTCTGGCACTTTGGCATGACACCCCGAGCATAAGAATCGAAAGCGAAGGCGAGTGTCGAAGCGTGAGAAAAGCAGCATTAATCGTCAAAATGAAGAGGAAAAGAGCTGCAGGGAAGCAATCTGCATTTTTATTGTGTGTTTACTTTAGTCAAGTGTTTCTTTACAAAGCCACTTGACTTCAGATTGTAACCTCAATGCATCTGCATTAGTGACAAGAGGGGAAGAAAGTTTGCAAAAACACTTTATATTCATTTGGGGAAAAGAATGTCTCATTACCACAAGTTCATTATTAAATATCCAGAAAATAACGATCCCACAAATGTCAATAAAAATGGCATCATTTAGTCAATGGGGTGGCTGCCGCTCCATTCAGAAATACCAGATTTGTTTTAATTTGCTATTATTGATTATTTTGTCAGACGATCTGTCTCTTTTTCAGCTGCTCGGGATGAGCTGGGGGATGAAAGTACGAGCAAAGGGCAGAGGATCGAAAAGTGGTCAGGGAGACAGAAGGAGCACAATGGAGCCCATACACAGCCAATAAGTCTATGTGTATACAGCATCTATCTGCGTTCCCTCGGACACTGACAGATGCACCGGAGTCATAGAGAAGCTCCCTGAGAAGACCGCTCATACTAGCTGCAAAATGTAGGAATAAATCAGAGCCCCCAAAAATCGCTCCAATGACTTCAGACAGCAAAACAGAGTCGACTTTTTGGTAAAAATTAAAGTGCACCCGAGTGTTGATCTGAAGTTCACAGTGGAGAGCTACTCTGATTATCTTCTTCACACTTTGCACAGTTAATTATTGATGGATGCATCTTGTTTGTTTTTATTGCTCTCATTTTTAGGCACATAAAATTAGCCATAACTCTTTTATATCCTATGAAATTTAGTTTGAACTACACATGGGCACAGAAAATGTATGGTTTTAATTTTAACTAAAGTTAAATTGGGAGATTAACAAGGTGACAGATAGCTATCGTTTAACTGAGCTCAGGGTGGCAATCATACATATAGACCTGGCATATGTGCGACTCACTCAGCACCAGAAATAATACCAAGCAAGCACCACACATTGATGGAAATAGTTTTTCTGTCTTTTATTTACCCCAAATTACTCATTGAAAACTGGGTTGTTTAGTCTGAATAACGCTATAAATAACGGCCTACATTAGAGATCAGTTTAGACCATACATAACCCAAATACAGCCATAAAACTATCACCTCCAGCCAAAACCTATTCAAAGGATAACTTCACCAAACTGTGACTGATTCCCATTCATGCACTTAGCAACTTTGATATGTTTCCTTGATGAGAGGCTGATGATGACGAGTGCACATTACAAAGGCTAAAATTGGGTTAAATTTGTCTTAAATGGAACGTTGAGTGGTTATTTTAGCCATTGTTTCAAAAATATAACTGTATCTTTGTTTGTTTTATTTAACATGATTAATTTTTTGCCCACATGTTAATGCATTCATATTTTCTGTGACTGTGAAACAGCTGCGATCACACAGCCACATGTGAGTGATGTTTCTTGTATGTTTCAGGGAGAGCGTATTTGTACTGAGCTGAGCCTCTGGACATCCATCATCCAAACACTGATGATATTCATTCAGATCTGCAGTCGACTTAAAATTACCAGTTAACCTAACGTGCAAATCTTTGGACATGCATGTGCGAGAGTACCCGCAGAGAACTCATGCAAACTATGAAGCCCCAGCCGGCTTTGCTGTTAAGCAAAATTTCTAATTACTGTGGTGTCCAGCCTGTGGGTAATAAAACTGTACCCACGTGCTACCGGAGTCAGATATGAGTAGTCTGCAGAGTTTATGGAGGTGTCAATGTGAGTGTGAATGGTTATCTGTCTCTCTCTGTGTACACTCTGAAGGAACAGTCTCATGTCCCCAGGGATTAGCTGGGCTGAAACCCTCCAGCTATCACAAATGTCTTAAACAAACACAGCTGAAAGCAAAACAAATGAGCAGCCCGCTGATCAATGAGGTCCATCAGCAATTTGACCTATTAATGTATGTTTATATACAAGCTGTTAGAAAAAGTTTTAAATGGCTCTTTGGCACACACACACTTATATACCCCAACTAAGGATGAGGAGTATGTCTATGTCTGTAACAGATCTTATTAATGTTCCCTACTTCACTGTGAATGCTCACTACTTGTTTTTTTCTTTATTTCTTTTACAGTGTAGGGATATACTAAGAAGATCAAAAGAGAATACAGAACAGTGAAAGCAGAGAGAAGAGTAAACAAACCTAAAAGCTCTTTTATATTATATTTCAGATTCTTCAAAGCAGCCGACTTTTGCTTTGAAAACATCTTTGCTCACTCTTCAGTCTCATGAGGTCATCATGTGGAGTCTTTCCAACAGTCTCCAAGTTTTCTACATATGCTGAGCACTTACTGGTTGCTTTTCCTTCACTCTGGACTCATCAAACTCAGTCCAGTGAGTTTAATGAGTCACACCTCGCCGGTGTGAAGAAGAGGTAGACCCAGATGCAGACACGGTGGAGACAGAACTAGGTTTCCAAAAATAAAGCGAGCCTTTATTGTGGCTGATGGCAT